AAAGCAGAGACATTACTTTGCCAGCAAAGGTCCATCTAGTCAAAGCTATGGTTTTTCCAGTAGTCACGTATGGATGTGAGAGTTGGACTATAAAAAAAGCTGACTGTTGAAGAATTGATGCTTTTGAACTGTGGTATTGGAGAAGACTCTTGAGAGTCCCTTGGACTGCAAGGATATCTAATCTGTCAATCCTAAAGGAAATCAGTCCTGAATATTCATTGGAAGGACTGATGCTGAAGTTGAAGCTCCACTACTTGGTCACCTAATGCGAAGAGCTGACTCATTTAAAAAGATCCTGATGCTGGGAAAGATTGAGAGTAGGAGGAGAAGGGGACGACAGAGGATGAGATGGTTGGATGGCATCACCGACTCAATGGACATGGGTTTGGGTAGACTCTGGGAGTTGGTGATGGAGAGGGAGGCCTGGCGTGCTGCAATTCATGGGGTCACAAAGGGTTGGACATGACTGAGTGACTGAACTGACTAAACTGAATTCTTCCCAAAGCCTCCAATAGAACTGTAAGTTTTCTGAACGCGAACGTCCATCCTATCAAACACATCTGGGAATCTATGAATTCTTTCCTCAAACTCCACTGCCCAATATCTCTCCTGAAGTTCTTGATCCTCCCACTCCAGTTTAGACTGCTTATTCTCTAGACTATTGCCCAGCAGTCACCGTGGGACTTGCTATCACCCTTCTTTCCAGACCTTATGCCTTTTAATTTTTATTTGTTGTTTTGTTTGTCCCCTTACTTTTGATGAGACACATCCTCCAGCAGCTTCATAAGAAACAGCTCACAAGAGGTAACATTTTCAACAACATGCATGTCTGAAAATGTCTTTACTCTCGTGCCTGACTGGTAGTTTGACTGGATACAGAATTCTAAGTAAGAAATCATTTTTCTCAGAAAGCACTGTTCTATTGGTAGAGCTTCCAGAGCTGTTTTTTTTTTTTTTTAAGATTTATTTATTTTTTGACTGTGAGTCTTTGTTGCTGCATGTGGACTTTCTCTAGTTTCCACGAGTGAGGGTTACTCTTCACTGCAGTGTGCAGGCTGCTCGTCATGGTAGCTTCTCTTGCTGAGGAGCACAGGCTCTAGGCGAAAGGGTTCAGCAGTTGCAGTATATGGGCTCAGGAGTTGTGGCCCATGGGCTTAGTTGCTCCGAAGCATGTGGGATCTTCCCGGACTGGGGAATCAAATCTGTGTCCTTTGCATTGCAAGGAGGATTCTTAACCACTGGACCAACAGGAAAGCCCCCAGAACTGGTTTTGAGAAGTCTGATACCATTTGAATTTTCAGTCCTTTATATGGCCTCTGGTTCTCTCCACCCCTATGCTGTGGAACTGCTTAGCATCTTATTTTTATTACCCATATTCTAAAATTTCACAACTATATGCTCTGGGATGGGTCTTTTTTTTTTCATTCATTATGCTGGGCATTTAGAAGGCCCTTTCACTTTGGAAGTTCATGCCCCTTAGTTGTAGAAAATGTTCTTGGATTAGTCAAAAACAGACTTCCTAGATTGATCCTTTACTTTTTAATTCTTTTCTCTCTTATTTTCCATCTTTGGTTTTTCACCATTAATGGATGATTTCCTCTTTAACTCCTTGGCATTCCAGTCAAATACTTTAAATAAAACCATAAATAAATAATCAGATAAAACTATATATAAACATAAAATCATATTTTAAAATTTTCAAGAATCTTTATGGCTCTCTAACTACTCCTATTTTATGGTATACTATTCGCTCAGACGGTAAAGTATCTGCCTACGATGTGGGAGACCCAGGTTCGATCCCTGGGTCAGGAAGATCCCCTGGAGAAGGAAATAGCAACCCACTCCAGTATTCTTGCCTGGAAAATCCAATGGACTGAGGATCCTAGTAGGCTACAGTCCATGGGGTCACTAAGAGTCAGACACGACTGAGCGACTTCACTCACTCACTCATTCTTATTTCATAGATGCAGCTCCTTCTCAAACCTCTCCTAGAAGACGTATATTTAGAAGATAATAATTAGTTTTTTTTCCTGGTTACACTTCAAAGTTTTCTTCTTTTACTTGGGGCTCTTTAATTTCTCCAAATCCACCAGTTTCCTGGCAGGTGTGGGTGGGATGGGGATGATTCCTACCTGCTTAAGAGTCAAAGGATAGAAGAGGACTAGAAGTCTCAAGAGTCTCACCATTCAGTACACAGACAATCCCTCATTTCCCTCTTCTTAGGATAACATTCCTTCTCCATCAGCTGTCATACTCGATGCTTACCTTGAAGCATGTATGATTCAATTTTTTTCCAAAAATAAAAATTCATCTCTTGTTGAGGTGGGTGAGACTTAACTGATTAATTGTAATGAATGGAGATGGTGACTTTTAGGCCAGTTACTCCTAAAAAGACTTTCAACAGTCCTGTTTTTAGCCCAAGCCTGACATCCACCTTCAGTTCCAGAGCTGAACTGTAGGTTTCGTAGGTTTCTGTGATGCAAACTGGCTTGCTTCTATCTATCATCTGCTTCTATACACACTACCTTCAGGGAACTCACCCTATCTGAAGGCTACAAACAATAAGTAAACAAATAAACAAGATATTTTCAAAGATGATAAGAATGATGTAGACAAAGCATAATAATGAGTGGGTAAAGAGTGATACTGGATGGCTATTTTAGACAGACTAGTCAACAAAAGTCTCTTTGAGGATGGGATATCTCAGAAGAAGCATGCTAAATGATTCTGGAACAAAGACATTATAGGAAAAGGGAAAAGAAAGTACAAAGACCCTGAAGTATGAAAGAGGTTGGTGTATCTGAGAAACAAAAAGGCCAATGAGGGTGGTTAGGATGGTGTAAGCTAGGAAAGAGTGATCAGAAATAAGGTCAGGGACTTCCCTAGCGGTCCAGTGGTTAAGACTTTGCCTTCCAATGCAAGGGGTGCAGGTTCAACTCCTGGTCAGGGGGCTAAGATCCCACATGCCTCCTAGCCAAAAACCATAACCTCATAGCCAAAAAACACAAAACAGAAGCAATATTGTAACAAATTCAATAAAGACCTTAAAAATGGTCTACATTGAAAAAAAAAGAAGAAAATAAGGTCAGAGAAGCAGATAGGTCAACTCATTTAAGGTCTTGTATGCACGCATCTCAACGTCAAAGAGTTTAGACTTTATTTGAAGAGTGACGAGAAGTCATAGAAGGAAATTCAGCAGAGGAGGATGGTATGATCTGATTTACCTTTTTCAAGTTCAATCTGGCTACCATGGAGCAAGAGGGGAATCTGGGAGACCAACTAAGGGTGTTGAAGTAGGATGGTAGCTATGGAGGTAATAAGTGGTAGTCAGACTCAGGGCATATTTTAAAAATAATGCTAAACTACTTGAAGGTTTGAAGTAGGGTATAAAGGAAAAATATTAAAGATGACACCTAGGGTTTTGGCATAAGTAATAGATGAATGGTAATTCCATTTGCTGAGAATGGGAGACATCTAGAAAGTAAAACATGTGAGTGGGATAGGAATATGATCAACAGAGGCCCATAATAGGTGTTCAGTAATTGGTACCCATTGTTTACATTAACAATCATCTTCCATTGTATGTCAATTACATCTCAATAAATTTCTTAAAAATCACCTTCTTTCTGGGGTTATACTACTTTACTATCCACAGACAATGACATAAATAGTATTGAAGCTTATTCTACATTTATTTTAAACAAAAACTTTCTGGTTATATGATATTAGAACTTAGACTCAATTCATAAGCCATCAGACTTTCTACCTTAGTACAGAGAAGAGAAAACAATATTAAGATCCCCTTACCAATGTGGATGGAAGAGCCTTGTGGGCTACAGTCCACGGGGTCGCAAAGAATCAGACACGACTGAGCAACTTCACTCACTCACTCACTCACTTACCAATGTGCAAGCGTTACAAAATTTGCTTTGACAGCTATATTGACACTCTTTCACCTAGTTACTCACTAGGATTACAATGATAAAATAAAAAAGGTGAACTTTAATCCATCATTTTTAAATGCTCCCCATTTATTCTGAACAACACGTGCACACAGACAATGCAAACACACCCTGAGATGATATATTTTTCAAACCTGATCATTTAAAAACTATTCAACATGAATTCAGTATGATTTCTAAGCTGATCTATTCTCCTCATTTAACAAAAAGGGAAACCAAAGTGCAGAGGTCAAATAACTTGTCCAAGAGAACACAATTAGGAAAACAGAGTGCATAAGAATGTGCATAAGAATAGCTGAAGATAAGGCTAGAAAAACAGAGCAGACATTAGCTATCTGTCTAAAGAATTTCTGATTCAATTCTGAAATAAATGGAAGCCACAAGAAGTTTTTAAGAAATGTTCAGTCGCTAAATTGTGTCCGATTCTTTGTAACTCCATAGATTGCAGCACACCAGGCTTCCCTGTTCTTCACTATCTCCTGGAGTTTGCTCAAATTCATGTCCATTGAGTCAATGATTCTATCTAATGTACTCATCCTCTGCTGCCCTCTTCTCTTTTTTTTGCCTTCCCTTCTCTTCTCCTTTTGCTTTCCCAGAATCAGGGTCTTTCCCAATGAGCCAGATCTTTGTATAAGCTATACATACAATCAGAGCTATGTATCAGGAAGAGTGAAAAGGAGGGCAAAAAGAATAATTCATTCAAGGCAAAAGTGAAGAGGATTGAACTGACAGATGCATAGGGGAAGAAGAAGATGCTAAAGTCTTTGAAGGTTTAAAATCAAGAGCTTACCTGATTGGGAAAGGCGGGTGTAAGATCAAAGAGATCCGCGAGAGTACTGGGGCCCAGGTCCAGGTGGCGGGGGATATGCTGCCCAACTCCACCGAGCGGGCCATCACCATTGCTGGCGTGCTGCAGTCTGTCACCGAGTGTGTCAAGCAGATCTGCCTGGTCATGCTGGAGACGCTCTCCCAGTCTCCGCAAGGGACCATTCCGTACCAGCCCATGCCGGCCAGCTCTCCAGTCATCTGCGCGGGCGGCCAAGATCGGTGCAGCGACGCTGCGGGCTACCCCCATGCCACCCATGACCTGGAGGGACCACCTCTAGATGCCTACTCGATTCAAGGACAACACACCATTTCTCCGCTCGATCTGGCCAAGCTGAACCAGGTGGCAAGACAACAGTCTCACTTTGCCATGATGCACGGCGGGACCGGATTGGCCGGAATTGACTCCAGCTCTCCAGAGGTGAAAGGCTATTGGGCAAGTTTGGATGCATCTACTCTAACCACCCATGAACTCACCATTCCAAACAACTTAATTGGCTGCATAATCGGGCGCCAAGGCGCCAACATTAATGAGATCCGCCAGATGTCCGGGGCCCAGATCAAAATTGCCAACCCAGTGGAAGGCTCTTCTGGTAGGCAGGTTACTATCACTGGTTCTGCTGCCAGTATTAGTCTGGCCCAATATCTAATCAATGCCAGGCATTCTTCTGAGAAGGGCATGGTGTGCAGCTAGAACAGTGTAGGTTCTCTCATAACCCTTTCTGCTGTTTTCCCATGATCCAACTGCGTAATTTCTGGTCAGTGATTCCAGGTTTTAAATAATTTGTAAGTGTTCAGTTTCTCCACAACTTTATCATCCGCTAAGAATTTAAAAATCACATTCTCTGTTCAGCTGTTAATGCTGGGATCCATATTTAGTTTTATAAGCTTTTCCCTGTTTTTAGTTTTGTTTTGGGTTTTTGGCTCATGAATTTTATTTCTGTTTGTCGATAAGAAATGTAAGAGTGGAATGTTAATAAATTTCAGTTTAGCTCTGTAATGTCAAGAATTTAAGAATTAAAAAATGGATTGGTTAAAAAAATAAAAAATAAAAAATAAAAACAAGAGCTTAGTTTCTGATTAGAAGCAAGGAATAAAAGGAATAACTAGAGATGAGTTTGGGATTTTCATAATGGGTAACTGGAAAGACTGCTATCTCAATAATGAGGTTGGCGAAATATTCTGACACATCCTCATAGCATTAGTAGATATTAGTGTTTCCTAGGTGTACAGTTTGCTTCCTAAGGAGACCATCTGGGAGATAACAGCCCTCTACTTCTCATCTATTCACCATGGTATTACCTAGCATGGGGTTGGACTGAGTAGTTCTAAATAAATATTTGGTGATCTGAAAGCATATTCTTCATTTTAACAAAATGGCAATCATATTGTTGCATATGGATTCTGAAGAGGAGTTAATTCTGAACAAAAATAGGTAGATAAGAAAATAAATTCAGAATGTGGCCTAAAAAGAAGTAAACATTAGATTGTCAACAAGCAGTCTAAAAGAAATATTAAATTTCTCATGGCACGAAGAATAACAAAGAGGTATGAGAACAAATCTTGGTACAGGTCCTCAAAAAGGCCATTGGGGAGTGGAAGTGAGCAGGGCACAGAATTGGATTACAGATCTTTGAGCATAAGACTTCCTGGCATAAACAACCTTATTCACAAGAGGTCCAAACTATCGGTCCCTGCCCTCAACAAAGCACTTTATTGTTCTTTTTTTCAACTGATAAGTTAGAGCACTGATGATAAAACAATCTTAACTGTATCCATGTATTTAAAAAATACATACACACAAACAAAATATACACATCTACTTGCCTCTGTGTCTTATCAGGGCCACTCTCTTCCTTCCAACTAGAAATCTTAGGAGGGAGAAAGATAAAAAGAAAAGAGGAAATAAGGAGGCTGGGGTCAAGAAAAGAGAGAAATAAAACTCCAAAGGTTCAGCTCATTCACTCATGCTGGGCACAAAATAGTTGTGCCAGCAGAGAACCAATTCAGGCCCAGAGAATCAGATGCCCACCATCTGGCAGCACATGCAGATAGCCTTTTTTTCCCCAAGTACACCTTCAAAATCACCAATATAGCAATTTTCAACTTTTTGTTTGTTTTTGAGTAGGAGATCTTTTCTGCAAAACTCTTAGATGGAAGTTCAATATAAAACAGCTTCTCTGGTTGGATGAAGCAGAGATGGAAACCGAAAGGCTCATAGGCTCCGCCACCTCCCTCCTGAGGTTAAGACCCTGAGGACGCAAGTGAGTGAAAATCCTAGGGTTCCAAGAGATGGATTCTTCCCAATTTAAATCTCATAATGAAGGAAAACTTTGGTGCACACTTCTGTCTCAGCTTTTGTACCTCTAAAAACAAACTAACCTATACTAACAGCTTGAAAATAGGCTAAGAGCCATACTAACAAATAGGAACAAAAAATTTGAATCACAAAAAAATATAAAGTATGAACAGTAAATTTCTAAGTCAATTAGAAAAGTATTAAGGAAATAAAAATTCTAAGAATTTGAGACTGGAACACAGTTATGCATCCTCAGTTCAGTTCAGTTCAGTCACTCAGTCATGTCCGACTCTTTGAGACCCCATGGACTGCAGCAGGCCAGCCCTGCCTGTCCATCACCAACTCCCGGAGTTTACTGAAACTCACGTCCATTGAGTCAGTGATGCCATCCAACCATCTCATCCTCTGTCGTCCCCTTCTCCTCCTGCCTTCAGTCTTTCCCGGCATCAGGGTCTTTTCAAATGAGTCAGCTTTTCACATCAAGTGGCCAAAGTACTGGAGTTTCAGCTTCAACATCAGTCCTAGGAAAGTATAATAAATGCTTCTACTGCTATAGGACTCCTCTGGTTAACAAAAGCCAAGAGGACTCTGCTTGTTCTAGGCCCCCTTGATAAGATAATTTCCTTCTGTTGTATTCAAAATATACAATGAAAGTAAAGGCACGAAAACATGAAAGATATAAACAACTAAAACTTCTTTTAAAAAGTAATCCACTTCCAGGCTTTTAACTGCACTATATTTGAGACAGATGGCTTATGCAGGACAAAAATGCCACCATCAAAATGCAAACCCACCATGGTTAATAATCATTATAATAATTTTCATGTATTATATGCTACTGTGTACTATAACAGATCTATAGATTTTATATACATTATCTCATTTGTTGGCTTATTGTGAAGATCAAGGTAGAATTAACATTACATTTTATATGTTAGAAAACAGCTCACAGCAAAGAATATTATTTTTTGTAAGTTAAAAGGAAAGGGTGTGTCATTCCTGAACAACGAGGCAAAAAAAAAAAAGGCTGAGAAAGTAGACCAAGGGGACATCAGAATAGGAATGGTATTCAACAAGAGCAAAGATGTACACAGACTGAAAGCCCAGGATTGTCCAATATAGTAGCTGCTAAGCTTCATGTGGCAATTTAAATCAGATCAAATAAAAAATTTAGTTCCTTCTTTGTACTAGCCACATTTCAATGCTCATTAGCCACATGAAGCTATTGAACAGCATAGATAAAGAACATTTCCATAATTTTAGAAAGTTCTATTCTATTCAACAGCATCACTCTAGCAGAAAACTCTTGAATGTATTGGAAACAGCAGTAGACCCTCAACAAATGTTTGGTGAGTGAATGAATGATAAAAGACAGATGGGATGCAGTGAGCCATTTAAGGAACTAGCCAGAGGAAAAGAAACTAACAATAATAGCTAACATTTACTGGACACTTAACAAAACCAAGTACTATTCCAGGGTGCTTTATATGGATTAAATTAATCCTCAATAACAACTCTATGACTGATTTATGGTCATTATCCCCATTATAGGTGGGAAAACTAAGGATCCCAAGATCTAGGATTTCAATTCAGGCAGCTTGATCTGGAATCCAGAGCCTCCATTTTTAATCAGTACACTATATAGTATTCTACTTCTTTATATAAGAACTATATCTTTAAACTTTGCTGTCATGAAATAAAATTTATTTAGAGTCAATCTTCCCATGCAATTACTAGTCAAGTTCATAGTGAAGAGAATAAAAAAAGAAGTGATGAATAAAGAAGACTGGCAGAAAATATATCAAATGTTAATACTAGCTTGATGCCTAGATGCTGAAATTGAGACCATTTTTTATTTTCCTGTTTTGTGAATACTATTTTCTCAATGATCCACAGTGATGATGTATCATATCTACAAAATCAGTACTTTTTAAATAAGATGAAAATATAATCAGCTTAAAAATTCCTAAGAAGAACATCAAATCAAGACTCAACCATCTTGAGGAAATGGCAACCCACTCCAGTATTCTTGCCTGGGAAATTCAATAGAGAGAGGAGCCTGATGGGCTACAGTCCATGGGGCTGCAAAGAGTTGAACACAATTTATCAACTAAACAACATATACTATATATGGTATACTATATATTAAATAGTAAACAAACAAACAAACAAAAAAAAGACTCAACCATCTCAAACACTGCAGATGTCCCCTAACTGATCTCTCACCAGTCTCTCCATCACTAAACCATTCTGAATTTGCCATTAGTTACCCTCTGTCATCTAATCCCTGCTCAGAATTCAACACATAAAACATAAAATATAATCTTCTTGGCTTTGGGCAAAACATTTCTGAATAGAATGGCCCAGTTCTATCTTTCCACATTTATCTACCAATGCCATCCCATCAAATCCTTTAGGAGAGACATGACAGAAAAAGTTCTTCTAGGAGAAACATGGTAGAAAGAGTCCTACCTCAAAGTTACAGACCTCAGACAACACATAAATCTCTTGGCCTGTTTCTTCAATGGAGAATAATTATGAAAATTAAATCTTTAAATAGGCAAAATATCCAGCATACAAGGAAGACTTCAATAAATGGTTTTCTCATTGTTGTTATTATTAACAAATTTTTTTTCAGTCCAATAAATTGCTCTATTTATTCCCTGACCAGATCACAAAAATAATCATAGTAGATATCTTAGTTCATCCTTCGAACAAGCTGTTGATCTAGTCTTCCCTGTGGCCAGCATCTCTACCTTCTACAAAATGGGTGGTCTTTTCCTTCATTCAACCTCATGGAAAAGAGAATTTGAACAGCCACAAGAAGTTGTTTCCTTCTTTTTTTTTTTTTTCCTTTCCATTTGTTTTTATTAGTTGGAGGCTAATTACTTTACAATATTGTAGTGGTTTTTGCCATACACTGACATGAATCAGCCATGGATTTACATGTATTCCCCATCCTGATCCCCCCTCCCACCTCCCTCTCCATCCCATCCCTCTGGGTCTTCCCAGTGCACCATCCCTGAGCACTTGTTTCATGCATCCAACCTGGGCTAGTGATCTGTTTCACCCTTGAGGGTATACTTGTTTCAGTGCTGTTCTCTCAGAACATCCCACCCTCACCTTCTTCCACAGAGTCTAAAAGTCTGTTCTGTACATCTGTGTCTCTTTTTCTGTTTTGCATATAGGGTTATTGTTACCATATAAATTCCATACATATGCGATAGTACACTGTATTGGTGTTTATCTTTCTGGCTTACTTCACTCTGTATAATGGGCTCCAGTTTCATCCACTTCATTAGAACTGATGCAAATTAATTCTTTTTAATGGCTGAGTAATATTCCATAGTGTATCTGTACCACAGCTTCCTTATCCATTCGTCTGCTGATGGGCATCTAGGTTGCTTCCATGTCCTGGCTATTATAAACAGTGCTGCGAAGTTGTTTCCTTCTTTGAAGAATTTTCCAACAGTATAAGTCTTATAAATCAGATCCTCCATGTAGATGATGCTATATTTACCAAGACATCAGGCAATCCATGTGTTACCTGTCAGGGAAATTTGCTTCTTGCTGATTTTGTCATAACCACATCTGTAGATCAATTTATCTACTGACTTCAGGTTTGGTTACTCCCACGCAATGTACGGTTCCATGGTCCTCGGCATGTTAAATGGAGCATGGTTGATCTTAACGAAGGTGCCACTGAAGACTTGACAAAGGTGAAGAAGTTGCAATGTCTTTCAGATCTGTGAACTCACAACACCAATATCTCTGACAAATGATGACAAATGCCAGTTTGGGCTCTGCAGGTAGAAGCTGCCAGCTTTTCTTGCCATCCTAGCCATCAGAATCTCAGTTCTGTATACCTACCTATACTCTTTGTGATAGGACTTAGCTTCTTTACAGATAAGCTTCATTCCTTACCTTTTGATGAATCTTTTGGGCAAATTTCTTTCACAGGCACTTGATCTTCAGCTCTGCAATATTCCTTCACTTTTCAAAAAATATATTTGTTTTCTAATTTTATTTATTTTGACTGTGCCAATCTTAGTTTCAGCATACACAATCTTCCATCTTTGTTGCGGCATGTGGGATCTTTTACTTGCAGAATACAGAATCTTTAGTTGTGGCATGCAGGATCTAATTCCCTAACTAGAGATCAAACCCAGGCTCCCTGAATAGGGAGCATGGATTCTTAGCCACTGTCCACCAGTGAAGTCCTCAAAATTCCTTCATTTTTTTCTTAAGGGTTTCAGTAGGAGCATTAGTTTTCTCCTCTTCTGCATACTCCATAGCCAAATGGGTTTTTAATTCACTGACTCCTTAAAAAGCTTTGCACTTTTACCTTTATGCTTTATTTGTTATTATTTTGTTCCTTTCTAAGTTTCTAGAAGACTCCTGAGAATCCCTTGGACAGCCAGGAGCTCAAACCAGTGACTTAAAGGAAATCAACCCTGAATATTCATTGGAAGGACTCATGCTGAAGCTGAAGCTCCAATACTCTGGCCACTTGATGCAAAAAGCCGACTCACTGGAAAAGACCCTGATTCTGGGAAAGATTGAAGGCAGGAGGAGAAGGGAAAGACAGAGGATGAGATGATTGGATGGCATCACCAACTCAATGGACATGAGTTTGAGCAAACTCCGGGAGATAGTGAAGGACAGGGAAGCCTGGTGTGCTGCAGTCCATGGGGTCACAAAGAGTCAGACACAACTTAGCGACCGAACAACAACAATTTTGTTCCTTTCTGAGTTCTTCCCCTATCTTCTAAAATCCTATTAAACTTCACATTCCAATTTGATTCAACCTCCTCCAAGAAAGCTTTCTGGCTCTGCCAAGGGAAGTCCCAAAAGTTGCCTTATTAAATGCAGTTAATTACCAGAAAATTAAGTCTCAATAGGTAGAAAAAGATCTACAGCCCAGCTAAATTCCAGCAAGACAAATGCAGCATGAAACCTGGAATCCCTCTTTTCAGCTATTAATACTATTCTAACAAGTTTCCAATAATGTTTCAGCTTTCTCACTGATCTCTGAAAGGACAGAAAGGCCATTACCTAAGGATGTTGGGATGGGAGAGTCTATTCATGAGCTGCACTTCTTTCAGCATGTTTGCCCGGTTACTGCTCAACGTGTTCATCTTAAGAGCCATCACCTGGCCGGAAGCTCGGTGGCGCACCTAAAAAATAAAATAGAACAAGAGACTCAAGGATGGCAGCTATATATGAGGTCAAAGTCTCCACATGTAGAGCATGCTGAGATGTTTTACTGCCAATTCAGATAAAACAGACATGGTAAGGGATGTTTTTCTATAAACTGGGATTACATAAGGGTTTCACATCTGTTAACAAAGATGGATTTATTCCTTTGAAGACCAAAACTGTTTCATATTAAGCTGGCTAGAAAATACATGATTATACCTCAAGAAATCATGACTTCTAACTTTGCTGTCCACCTGAAACTATCACAACATTGTTAATTGGCTATACTCCAATACAAAATAAAAAGTTTAATTAAAAAAAAGAAAGAAATCATGATTTTTTTTAAAAATACCTTAGACAAAAACGGGGAAAATGTAGGCTGGTTCCTAATGGCCAATGCTTCTGAGCCTTAGGACACTAGCCGGAAAGTCTCTTTCATAGAGTTTTAACTGTGCACAGAAAAGATTCGTGCACAAGGCTTATATAACACTTAATGAACTATAAAACTGTCTTTATAGGACACTAAACCCACAACCTCAAAATCTCTCCCAAGCACCATAAAATGTATATCTATACAGAAAAAATTATTGCATGTTAAATATAGAAAGAAGGCAGTGAACCTCTGGACCTAATATTGAGTAACCCAACCCAAAGTTCCTTATAATTATTTACATACAATCAAGTCAGATACTCTTAACCAAAAGAAGTTCAATTATTCACTTAGATATGTGTTTCCTACTGGGCAATTATGAATGAGGCTGTAGAAAAGTTACAAAGTACCAAAGACCTCATTACTTACTGGTTAAAAAAAAATTCATTTCAGATCATGTACAACAGGGACATGCCATGCACAGCTGTCATCATTCTATGAACTTTCAGAGTATCATTTCAGGATCTTACTTCTACTTCACCAAGTGGAAATTCCAATAGAAAACACAAAAATCTACTTAACTCTTCAATCTCCAGAAATTCTTTGACAGGACAACAGCCTCAGAAGTTTAGTATAGCTATTAATATAGGACAGACAACACAGCTTATCTTAAAACTCAAAGAAGCAATGTTTCAGAGTGTCTAGACAGAAGAAGGGGAAGGAAGAATTAAGCGCTCAGAGCCACAGGAACCCTGAGCAGAAGAACTGGGCACAGCACTGGCTGTCTCTGCCCTCTTCTAGATCCCTGAGTGAGATTTGGAACCAGCTCTCTTCCTAGTGCATCAACGATTCTGTTGTCTTGTACCTTGTGACTGATGAAAGAGAAGTGGCTTTCCTTTTCAGATCCTGCATGGATAAGTTAAAAGAGACGTTTATATACAAAGAACACACTGACAGTATTTTTCCAGCTCTATTTACAGAAGACATCTGTTTTTTTAATAAGGGCTCTCCATTCTGAAAGTCACTCTTTTTTTCTTTTCCCCATCATCTGAAAACTATCACTCTTGAGGTTTTGTTTTGTTTTCTTTTTTTAATGTCTGCTTTTAAGAAACTTTGATAAAACAATGTGTGAAATTTAGGGATTAAAAAAAGTTGTTTCAAATTAATCATAAAAAACACTACTTCCTTAAACAAGTAGACAAGGAGATGAACATGTTCATAACACTGTATGTCTTTCATCTGCATAAAATATTTTCCTCTTTCTTCTAGCCCCTCAAATTCTACCTATCTTTGAAGGCCACACTCAAATATCCCCTTCCTCTCTGACGTCTTCCTTGTCTATCTCTAGGAACTGTGGTTTCCTTCTTTATACTGCCTCAGAACAACAGTATACAACTCAAGACATAGTTCTGTGCATAAATATCTCCTCACTAGGCTACAAAGCATTTTGAGACCAGGATCTATATTGTATTAATTTTTATTTTGCAGTACCTAAAAGACCTGGCACATCATAAGAGCACAATGAAAACAGCAGCAAGAGTGATACAGCAGCAAGTTAAATGATAGTTCTAACATACTTTTTAAGGGCCAGAGCATCATTCATTTATCCAGGTAATTTCTTTCAGGGTAGTGCTTTTCTTTCTTTTTCTCTTTTTGGTGGCAGAGGTATGGGGGAAGGATATAAACAGAAAAGCAGTACAAGATTCGGCTTAAATTTTCTGGAATTAGCCATCTAGAAAAGGACAAACAATAAGCAATTTGACCAATCAGTCAAGAAAGAGAATAAAGACTCAAATACATCACAAGAGGTATTTATATGAATCTTGATGCACTTACGGAAAAACTTCATGGGACTTCAGTGAAACCTCCAAGAATTAATAGATTTGTACAGATTTTTGAAGCACAAAACTGACCACAGGCAATAAAGAAAAAGGTATCATCCAGTATAGAGGTCCACAGGACTTCCCTGGCAGTCCAGTGGTTAAAACTCCACATTTCCAATTCAGAGGATGTGGTTCAATCCCTGGTAGGTGAACTGAAGATCCCACATGCCCCAGAGCAAGGCCAAAAGGAAAAAAAAAAACCATAGAGGTCCACTAAACATAGGGAACCTGTCTAAATCCAGGAGGATCTTCATTTCAAGTTGTCAAAACCACAGCAATTTGTCAGTCCTCAAACCTACTTACATTTTCAGAATGAAGGGAAGGTCAATTTCTGCTTAAGTTTCTCCTCTACACATAGATCATTGTTACTACTACTAAGAGGATTTCCAAAAGACTGATATCTTTAAATATCTTATTTTTAAAAAATTAAAAACAGAATTGCAATTCTACTTCTAGGTACAAACCCAAAAGGACTGAAAAAGGGTCTCAAAGAAATATTTGTACACTCATGTTCAAATCAGCATTATTTATAATAACCAAAGGGCAGAAGCAACCCAAGAGTCCATCAACAGATGAACAGATAAACAAAATGTGACACATGAGGGAATATTACTCAGCCTTAAAAAGGAAGGAAATTTTGACACATACTATCACATGGATGATATTATGATATTATTGAAGATATTATGCTAAGTGAAGTAAGCCAGTTAGGAAAAGGCAAATACTTATGATTCTACTTATATGAGGTTCCTCGGATAGTTTAATTCAAACAGAAAGAATGTAGAATGGTGGTTGCTAGGGGTTGCAGGGAGAAGAGGAATTCAGAATTGTTTAAACAGAGTTTTAGCCTTGCAAGATGAAAACAGTTCTGGAGAATGGTGACACAAAAATATGAACTGAATTGTACACTTAAAAATGGTTAAGATAGTAGATTTTATATATACTTCACCACAAGTATAAATAAAGGAAGGAAGAAAAGAAAGAAGAGATAGAGAGGGAAGAGAAGAGGTAAGAAAATTACTTACCAAGGTAAGAAAATTACTTACCAAGGTAAGAAAATTCTTATCAAGGTAAGAAAATTACTATCCCTCTTTGATTTTTAAATTCAGCTGATGCTACCATAGGATGCTACCATAGGATCTTCAAATTCACTTTCTAAAGAAGAACATAGCAGAGTGGTGAAGTACTCAAGCTTTCAAGATGAGCAGAGCAAATGCAAGTTTTAATGCTCAGAGTGACTTTTTTTTGAAGTTTTCTGTTGTAAAATAAAGAGAATGATAGTCTCTATATCATTTGGAGGATAAACTGATGTTATTATGTTAAAGAAACAAAAAAATGTGTATAAAGTGCTTAACACAATGCTTGGCACATAGTAAGTATTCAGACAAATAGGTACTGTGTTTAATAAAGATAAGAAACTATATGCTCATAACAGTTTAGCATATCAGGTGATTTTGAGATAATATAGAAAATATATACCTGTAATTTTAAGTGAAAAGAGCAATATTCAAATCTGTATTGGCCTCCAAGATGATTTATTTATTACAAAGGGGAAAAGATAACCTTTACAATGGAGAAATCTGGCAGCTAGCACCTTAATCAAGGGGTTATAAATTCAGTTATTATCAAAAGTGAGACATGCAACATTATCAACCTTCTGAAGCAATGAAATACACTTGCCAAAATGTTTAACTCAAAACTTAATCATAAGAAACTGACTCATCAGAAAAGACCCAGATGCTGAGAAAGATTGAAGGCAGGAGGAGAAGAGGATAACAGGGGATGAGATGGTTGGATGGCGTCACCGACTCAATGGACATGAGTTTGAGTAAATTCTGGGTGTTGGTGATGGACAGGGAGGCCTGGCGTGCTGCAGTTCATGGGGTCGCAAAGAGGTGGACACGACTGAGCGACTGAACTGAACTGAATCATAAGAAAAAAATTAGACATATTCAGAATACCTAAAAGACAACTGTACAGTACTCTTCAAACAAACAAAATGTGGGGGAACATTCCAGATTTTTTTAAATTTTGGAAAAAAGAGAAAAATTTTTGGCCATACCTCATGGCATGGGGGATCTTAGTTCCCTGACCAGGGATCAAACCCATACCCCCTGCAGTGGAAGCCCAGAGTCTTAACCACTGGACTGCCAGGGAAGCCCTGGAATATTCTAGATTAAAAGAGATTAACAGTCATAACCACTGAAATGAAACAAATGAAATCTTAACTGAATTGAGGGTCCAAAACTTATAAGACTTTTTGGAGGCAAACAGAGAAAATTTTAATAGAGACTGTACATTAAATTATTTTATTGAATTAAGGCTAATTGTCTAACATATAAAAAATGGTGTATTTAAGTGTCATGATGTCTGCAATTTGCTTTCACATGGTCTGTCAAAAAAACAGATAAAGCAATGTAATAAATACTAACAAGTGATGAATCTAGATGAAGGGATTTACAGGAGTTTATTGCATTATTCTTTCAATTTTCTACAGATTGAAAAAGTTTTCAAAAGTTGGAATAAACAAGTAAAAACTGAATTTTATTTCCTTACATGAATTTTAAAAATTAAGAAATAAAGATTAGCTTTTAATTGTAGGAGAAAAAATTCTGCATATGGCATATGACTAAGTTTATGTCAAAACAGAAAGAAGTGGAAGTAAGTTTATAAAATATTAATGATGCTTATCATTGACAGTAGACCAATGATTTTTTCTTGCCTT